TGCAAGGATATATTTTAATATACTATCAAATTTCAGTGAGACCGACCCTCCACTAGATTACACCTTCAATTACATAGTCATACCAAATTTCAGCTCTATCTTACAACGATAGCGAGGCCCACCCCTGCTATTCGTGGGGCAGCTAATAACCTATGTCTGTCCTTAACCAATGTTTAACGCACATGCAAAACACGAGTTATACCAAACATTGTTAGTCATTATAAAAACTGGACGTCCGGAAATAGAGGCAGTTGAAACCTTCAATGTTGGCTTGTATATTTGGAGGTTCTTAACGTAAGCATACCAAATTTCAGCTCTATTTCAAAGTCTCGAGCCGCGTATAGAACACATACTGTCTACGGTTTCCCTTGCGTCATGTTGCCTTTGCGCTTGTCAACCAATTAAGCCACTTTAAGTAGTCACCAGAACGAGGTTGGAGGCCTTTGAAATAAGGTGTTATAGGCGAATAAGCTATACATACAGGGAAACAAATGAAGTAGCATGATTAGCACAAAAAAAACGAGAAACTTTAAATGCACAGAAAAAATACACTGGTCATATAATTAGGGATATTACTGGGCAAAGTTGAGGGTGGGAGGGCCAGAGAAGGCAGAGACTGAGATAGACGAATGAAATTAAAAACCTGGACCACAGATACAAAACCTTGGAGGAATGGTAAAAACAGCCCGAAAACGCTAGTGGAGGACTGTGGTCGCCAACCCTCAGATAGGAGGACGGTACTCTGATTAAAGGATTGATAATTACATCCCTTCGTTAATACCATTGCTCATCTTTCAGTGCTCATCTTTCAGCATGCGCTATGTTTAATAAAATATTAATGGTCTTGACAACGTACGAGTGACAATTTCAGGTGGACAGAAACAAAAGTTAAAGGTGATGTGGGAAAAATAACGATTTGGATGGTGCGGCTACTTGGTGCGGCTCCAACGCCACATCGTACGAGGCCGCGCCCGAGTGTCGACCAATGAGCAGCCCTTTTCCCTCCCGCCTCCCACCACGCCACCCCCTCACCACTATTATTGCTGCTAAGAGGGAACCACAATTTTCTTTCAAGAAAGCGTAATCCTAAATTTAACAAACATCCAACTTGCAATTTTTTTCTTAACAGTCCCGAACGCATTCAGTATTTAAAATAGCCATTAATAAAAAATACACCATCCTTGCAGTTAGCTTTATAAAATACGACTTCAAAACTGGTGTGAATACACAATATTTTTTGCTAATTCAGCCTTCCATAAACACTGTTCATAAGGCGTTATGTAACCAAGCATACTTTAACAGACTTCCGCTAGTGTGTTCCCTAGCAGTCTCTGGTTACGTGGCGATAGTGACGGTCCTTTACACACAAAATGTCCTCGTTGCGGATAAGTTTAACCTTGCCGAATCCACAAACATACGGAGAAAAAACAAGGTTAATGATTAAGGTAAATTTTAAACAATTTTAAATATGCTGTGGATATTTGTCCGGTTATCGGTTAGGTAGGGTTTTTTGATAACACCAGGAGTTGATAGAATTGGACGAAACTTTGTGGAAACGAGAAGGCATAGAACCTATTAGAATAAATTATTATTAATATTATCTTCGCTCCGCAACAGCCAGGGTCATATGTTGCCGGGAACCTATTAGAACTGTATCTAACCAAGCTAACCTTACGAAACCTATACGGTATAGCAGATACATTTAAAAACATACCCAGTAACACTGAACGGACTCTTTTCCGTTCACCCATTTAATATAGTAAGGTTCCACAAAGTTTCATCCAATTCTCTCAACTACAGGTGTCGTTTAAAAAACCTATCGAACCGATAACCACAGCGTTTTAAATACTGTAGGATCACTGTTCCTTCTAACGGCGTTTGAAGGAACAATTTTGGAGAAAGAATCTTTGAAAACGAGTTTCATGACTTTAATATCTACATAAAATTTGGGGGATACTTACAACTTTCCCACCTTTGTTTTTCTGTTATTTTCATCGGCACCTTAACGTGCGGCTGCCATTATTCGTATTATTGCATTTCCACACAACATTCCTACCCCTAATCTACTATCATGTTCGAATAAGACGTCTAATTAGATAACAATTCATTACATTACCGTCGCAAATGTATAACGGAGATAGCGTATCAAAAATTTCCTCTATTTTCTTCCATTAATCTTCTGCCATTATAGCCTACCTCACCTCCCACACTGCGTGTCTCCGTCATAGATCAGCACGCGTTCCCGTGCACGTCACGCGGCCAATCAAAATCGATTTTTGGGACAACCAATTAAAATTATTTGCGGTTTAATTCGCGGTATTTTTGGCCCAATCAAATTCGATTTTTATTTTTGGTCTGTTTCGAAATTCAAATTCCTTTCCGACCACGGAAGTCTGCGATGGGTGTCACTTCAATTATATGGAGCAGATTGCGAGTTTTGGGGGAAAAACCAAGAAACTAGCATTTTTTCGATCTCAAGGTGTTCCCCGACCTCAGTAAAGTGTCCTAAGTGCAAGAACCAATGTAAATATCGTCAGCAACCTGTACTAATCTCGGAATCCAACGACCGATCGAGCACCAGGCCAATAAGGTAAGAAATAAGGGATTCCATCGTATGGTGACAGTTAGGTTAGGTCAGATTTGTTTTCGTTTTTTTTGTTTTTTTTATTCGCCAAGCCATAATTTTTGTCGGAAAACGCCCCACAAAAAATGCCAATTTCCGACGGAAATGAGTCATAACCGATCTAAACACAAACACTAGAAAACCATTTTTTACTTTCTAACAGTTGTGTGCAGTTATGCAAATTTACCAAATAATGTGCCAACAAATTAGATTTTTCAGCAATTTTCATATTTATCAGTTTGGCGATTTTGTTCTAAATATTGTGCCATACCTAAACAGCGTCTCATCTCATCACGTCGACCGAATCGGACTGATTTATCGTAAATATGATAAACCAACCAAACTTTACCTACCTATCCTAGCATGGCAATGCATCACTTGATTAGGTTGGTTAGGGCGTTTTGTTAAGAGCACTTGTGGAAAGTTCGCTGGGAAGTGTTTGGTTGATTTAGCTTTCAAGATGTCGGACTATTCCAGCAGCAGATCCCACTACCAAATATCTTAAAACGTTAAGAACCCGCATCGGCGGTGACTCGGGCAAGTCACTCATACAATATAATACCTCACGAAGCCCCATCAAACTACTTTAAATCTTACGTATCAACATGCTAACAACGCACTACTGTATTACTACACTTCGAGTATACATTGATTCGGTGGTTCGTTCTTACTGTACTTCGGTTAGTGGTTTATATCGGTCCGACTAATTACCCAAACGTAGCCAAATATAGCCGCAATGAAGTCAAATAATGGTCCTAGATGAATAAATCGGACTGCTAATCATTTCTCGACTAGCATTTGGTGTCAAAGTCACAAAAAATTATGGTAAAGGTGTACAAGAGGGTGACCACCAGAAGGAATTGTCCGAGTTTTTTTCTACACACTAGTATGATATTAAACAGAAAATATATATACACGCCACGTACAGTAAATAGCAGTAAAGTGTTACCCCCCCCCCCTCCCAATAGCAGCTGGAGCCAAGGCAAGTAAAGGATGGCGATCGGGCAAACCCTTCTCCCCCTGTCAAAGCGTTGCTGGATAGTTTTGTAACTAATGTATTGTAACTGGGGACGTTGCATTTTGTCAATCTTGGCCTTTGTTAATATTTAGTAGTTGCCAACACCCACTTCTATATCGAGTCTTGTATAGGAAAAAAATATATATTCTACAGCGTTTGTCGAAAATTTATATTTTTCGAATATATTAACCAATAAAATTACACACATCAGTCCTTCAAAGTGGGCAGGGCTTTGAAACACAGGAAAAATGTGGGGTAAAACGTTAACAAGAACACCAAACAAACCTTTGAAATAATTGCCTACCTTTCCTAACTTTTAAAAATGTTAAGATTCGCGTCCAAGTTTATGGGTCACATCTGAACGCCATCACCTACTAAACAAAGAAAACACCATCACCTACTAAGTACAGAGAAAACATCATCACCTAAGCACACAGAAAACACCATCACATACCGAGCACACAGAAAACACCATCACATACTGAGCACACAGAAAACACCATCACATACTGAGCACACAGAAAACCCCATCACATACTGAGCACACAGAAAACCCCATCACATACTGAGCACACACAAAACACCATCACATACTAAGCACACAGAAAACCCCATCACATACTAAGCACACAGAACATACTAAGCACACAGAAAACACCATCACATACTAAGCACACAGAAAACACCATCACATACTAAGCACACAGAAAACACCATCACATACTAAGCACACAGAAAACCCATCACATACTAAGCACACAGAAAACGCCATCACATACTAAGCACACAGAAAACACCATCACATACTAAGCACACAGAAAACGCCATCACATACTAAGCACACAGAAAACGCCATCACATACTAAGCACACAGAAAACGCCATCACACACAGAAAACGCCATCACATACTAAGCACACAGAAAACACCATCACATACTAAGCACCAAAAACATGAATTAGGTAAGCTTCGGCCTTTACTGGCTGTGGCTCTCACTACTATAGGGGTTGGCAATTAATGCTTCTTTGTAATATGATGCATATGAATGCCATGTGATAAAACTATAAATGTTCTACTACAAGCTTCTCGGGGCATGCTGACATTTACAGTAGACCCCATAAAACCGTGCTGTACAGCCCTACTTATTTTTGCCCATTACACTTGTACAAAGTCCTACAGTGGTTATTGGAATGACGGAGTTCTCGCTAGTAATCGATAGTGAGGCCGTGTGACCACGTGTACCACAGCGGCTGCTCACCGGAACCTCAGTTGTCACGTTCTTATCGATTCCCATCTCACCGGCAAACACATACTGTATTTACCTTAAACTACGCTACGTCACTTAATGCCATACACTTACCCAGGGCCTTCATGAACTCATCGAAGTTCTCGGATGATTCCATCTTGTACTTTCCCTCGATCTTGGCCATTTTTACTGGTTAGGAGCTGGTGGGTGAGCCTTCGTCCGTACTACGCAACCGCTGACACACGACTGAAGCGGAGGGAGTGAGGCGAGGGAACCGGGACCGTCGGACTTGCCAGTCTTAAACTCAGGATGGTTGTTTGGCGTTCTCGTGACTCGTCTGGCGTTGCCAGAATCACAATAGTTTTATCTACCATATATTCTCATCATTAATATTCAAAATTTTTAGCCCAGTTTGTAAGTTCACTTAATGTTGACAGTCAATTCAAGAACTATTGATCATTCTGTAGTGTTTGCGTTGCAATTTTTAGGTGCAGTTTGTTTATGCAATATTACGGAGATTTAAAGTGACTACGGGAAGATACTGTACATATTTTATTTTTGCACACAACATCCAACAACCTTCCCTGGTGTGCATATACCACGAGGGAAACTGAGCCAGCTTTAGAAACGGTATATTGTAAATATTTAAAAGGTGCGTATCAGACAAGTGGAACAGTTGAGTAAACCTACTGGTTGTAAAACCACATTATAGTAGTGTACACGTGTGAAGCGTTTGGTGAATGTACTGTTCAGTCAGGTTTTATTGTTGTCTTTGAGGTGAGATGGTCCTACATGAATAAATCGGGTTACCAATCACTTCTCGACTAGTATTTGGTGTCACAAAGTAAAAAAAAAATGGAAAACGTAATTTAATTTGAGTTAATAGATCGAGTGCATGTATCGAACCTAACCTAACCTAACCTCGACAAGTATTGGTGTCACGAAGTCACAAAAAATTGGTAAACTTAATTTAATCTGAGTTAATAGATCAAGTGCATGTACCTAACCTAACCTAATCTAATCTAACCTAACACAACACAACTCAGATTAAATTAAGTTTACCAATTTTTTGTGACTTTATGACACCAAATAATAATCGAGAAGTGATTCACAGCCCGATTTACGCTTGTACGACCATCATTTGACTTCATTGCGGCTACATTTGGCTATATTTGGGTACATTTGGGTAATTACTCGCTCCCTCGGTACATGCATGCGATCTATTAACTCAGATGAAAGTAAGTTTTCCAATTTTTTGTGACTTTGTGACACCAAATACTAGTCGAGAAGTGATTAGCAGTCCGATTTATTCATGTAGGACCATTATTTCACTTCATTGCGGCTACATTTGGGTACATTTGGGTAATTAGTCGGACCGCTTCTTCTTTTATAGGTTTGTTTTGAGACTATCAGTGGCCCCGAAAATATGCGGTCAGTGAAGTGCTCTGAGGCTCCCTCATCTCAAAATTTCCGGATATTGAAATAATGTGCGTGCACGAAAACTTGCAATATTTAAATGAAATCTGAATTATGCTAAATATATATATATATATATATATATATATATATATATATATATATATATATGTATATATATACATATATATAATATATATATATATTGTATTTATTAAGAAATCGTTAATTATTATTATTAACATTGTTATTATTATTATTATTATTATTATTATTATTATTATTATTATTATTGTTATTATTTCGTATGAGCAACATTAAAAATAATGGATAATACTGAATACTTATAACATTTTCATAATTTAACACATGATTTCAATATTGTTACATTCTGATTAAAATTAATAAATCTTCTGGCAACATTGTACATGGATACCTAGTGACAGCACTAGGAGCCCGTTGAAATTTAATTGAAAATTCAATTAATGAATTGTGCTCCCGGTCAGCTTTTTTTTCTCAATTTAGTAAATGGGTCCATGGCGGTGTCACGGGATATTTCCTCTTCGGGATATAGTTCCCGGAGGCATTAATCTTTATCGCGATATATTACAAAAAATGGCATCAAAGTAACTGATGTGACGGTCTAGCTCTAGTCTAGACTCTAGAAGGTAAACCACAAAGAGAGTGCAGGGACTTAGGGATACTGCTTTTACCGAGATTTTACAACGAGCCTTATGTCGAACTGTCGATAGCTTGTGAAGGTAAATTCCTTTGTCGTAAAGTCCATGGGGGCGTGGGACAGGTGTTTACCATATATTCAGGACAGACACCAAGGAGAGGTAGTCTACGGATTAGTCTGCCTAAGCTTTGGGAAGTGAAACTGGTAACGTGATTATCGTGACCGTGAGAGGGCGGACGAGATTATTATCTCCCGTGGTCCACTACCCTGCCACTCTGTGTAACGGAGAAAGATTTTATACAGCAAAATAATTTGTTTACGAGTTAATCACTTACTCCACTTTCACTAACAAATTATTAATGACAAACTATTAACCTCATAGATAATTAACAATGCATATAAGTGTTTATAAGAGGTGCAAATAACCTGCCCACTTTTGAGGAAAAGCAAACTTATCCTATTCACCACTGGCCCACTGCTCACAGTGCTCAGCCCGTTGGGAGGTCGGTCACGTCTGTTACGCACTGAGGAACTTTAAGTTTTATTTATTTATTTTTATTTTTTCACGGGGAATAGTCCACCCGGGCACAGGTCATCGACCCACAACGGTGCTCGGGGTGCGAAAAAAAGAGGTAAAAATAAATAAAAAATATAAGAGAAAAAGTCTATTAATCTACACCACGAAGATGGCGGAAAACCAGCTTTTTGAAGTGAGACATTGTAAAGGTATGGAAACACAGAAGAAGGCAGAGCATTCCACAGTTTGGCTGTGTAAAGAAGAAGGATGTACTATAACGGGTTAGTCTAGTGTGACCGACATTCACACAGAAATGGTGGACACCGCGGGCAAGACTAACCCGCGGCCTTGCCGGCGGTACACAGGAGGCCAAATCTACCGAACATTGCCCGTTAAAGTACCTGTAAAAGAGAGAGAGTGAAGCAACATTGCGGCGAAGAGAAAGAGAAGAAAGATTATCAACTAAAGGATTAATAAGACGAAATACCACCCCAGATATGAGAGCAGTACTCCAAGTTAGGATGAATGAATCCCTTATAAACTTGAACCAACTGCTCAAGAGTGAAGTAGCTACGGCATCTGTACAGCAGTCCCAGCTTTCGGGAGGCAGCTTTAGCAATATTGTGGATGTGTGGCTTCCATGAAATTTTAGAGGAAATGGTGAGGCCGAGCATATCAATTTTAGAATTTGGCAGAATGATTGCATTCTGAAATGTGAGTGGTGGGAGATTTTTTATTTTCAAAAGTAATTGGTTAGGTTAGGTTTGCGTTGCACTGATCATAGTATTATGTCCCATATAATACTAAAAACACAAGGTTTCCAAGTAAAGGAATTTATATTTGATGCAACGTACAATGTTTCCTCTATCATCTCACCAACCCTAATACTGTATCCAACTACCTGCCTGACTAGCACAGCAGCCTTTCAGCATTGAGGACAAGCTTCAAACAATAATTTTGCATTTATTGTTTATCCGTTAATGTAAATCTTTCTAGTGACTCGGTCTTTCTCTAATAATCAAAAATTTATTAATTACATAAGTATGCAGTACAGTATCTTGTTTTTATTCATATTCTTTTGAAGTAATGAAAAAACGGTAAAATTTTAGTTTCGCTCATCCCTGTATTTAGATATCCAAACTATGTGATTTTTCATATAGATCTACAATGGAAACGTGGACAAGATAAATCTCGAAAAAAAAGTGTTTCCCTTTTCCTGTGTGGTTTTATCGATATATATATATATAGCCTTACGAAACTTGCCCATAAATCAATATGATTCACTGCTGTTATGTGCTGACGAAATAAACAGGATATATATTTCCTCACAGTGACGTATAGCATAAACTCATTTTGCCACGCAAGTTAAGGCAACTATGATGAGTAAGCCAAACATCTGAAGATCACTTGAAGTTTACGGTTGAACATTGATTACTAAAGAGTTTACATACGAACCTACGCAGTAATTGCTTAATGGTGTTTCATTTATCTCAGACACCGACAGAATGTGGCAGCGATAATTAAATTTTTAATCGTCGTTATAACCTTTTGACCCTAATGTGCCAAAAATTCTGATTAAAGATTAATTGCAATTCGGGCGGCGTTGTGGCAAATGATAGTGGTGAGGAGGAGGAAGAATAAAAATGGTGCAGTGAAGATGATGGTGGTTGAGTACAGTATTTGTTTTTGTGTGACTGTGTAGGAGAGAAGAGGGAGGAAGGAATCTATACCAAGCCGAAATACATTTTCAGAGGAACTTCATAGATACTCTACTGTTTAAGACTACAACATTCATAGATTTTAATTGGTTATGATAAATGTGAATTACAAATTTCTTTTATCTCATACATTTAGTGAATGGCGGCTTACTGCAGATGCTATTTCTCATTTAAAAAATTAAAAAAACAAATTATATACTTTACTACGTATCATTCATTATCTTAGATGTACAGGACCGGTTTATCCTCTGAGCAACGGAAACGGGCAATTTTCCGGTGCTCCACAGTAGATTTATTAATTAAAATGCATATTTTTTTCTTATGCTTGATAAATTTTCAATTGGCAAACCGTTTATGTGGTGACTGCCTGATGAATAGTTCCTTTTTAGCCAATTATTGAGTTACTTTTGTCTGGATTATGTGAGTTTATCACAGTAACTGAAAACAATGTGGACAGAAAGACAAAATGTGAAGTATGATGATTGTTAGCAGGACAAGAGATAGGAACCATATATGTGAAGGATGGAAATGAACGACCTGAATTAACGAGAACAAACAAACAATGAGGATCTGGAGGTGACACCTGATATTAAAGTGACATTTGAAGATCATTTAAACAATAAAATTAACAAGGCAGCTATTTGACGGGTCTCCTCTTAAATAATATGTTCTAAACTTGGATGTTGTGCTATAAATTGAGTTTTGTAAGCAAAACTCTGCAAGTATCTACAGTCTTTATGAACAAAATATCCCCCAAACAAAGGTGCAAGTCATAGGCAAAATGAAGCAGGAGGTGAGGAGTGAGGGTTGGTGGACAGGGTAGGGTACCGGTAGTGAGGATGGTGGTTTTGTAATCCTTTTCACTCTAATATTTTTTGTGGGTCAAGAACACCATCGGTGTCAAGGGAACACTATTCAATATTGTCATTACACAGAAAAAACCCTATTAATGTTCTACATTTACAACA